ATGCCAGCAAAGCCACTGCACAACACAACACCAAACAATACATTATTTGCGCTATAACGGTGACAAACGGTGCCCACAAACTGTTAGGGCCTACATAAAGCTGTCCCAACAGCAGAGCTTTCTTTTCAGCACCATGGAGTGAATCCTTACCACTGCTACACCTGGCTATAAGCGGAGCCTTGTCTGGCAGCGAAACAGTTCATTCAGCCTCATTTACTGCCTTTTTTAAAAACATAGTTGATATGGCTGACCAGACCTGTCGCCAGACCTCAGTCTTAAGGGGGGCATATGAAATGCATGGGAGGGCAGGGCACAATTATTATTAGCCTACAGTACGTATATTTTTTTGAGTTAAAGTGTATGCATAAATAGTTAACAGAGTAGCAGCAGCGTAAAAAGATGGGGTGGGGGTGCAAATAGTCCGGGTAGCCATGATTAGCTGTTCAGGAGTCTTATGGCTTGGGGGTAGAAGCTGTTGAGAAGCCTTTTGGACCTAGACTTGGCGCTCCGGTACCGCTTGCCGTGCGGTAGCAGAGAGAACAGTCTATGACTAGGGTGGATGGAGTCTTTGACAATTTTGAGGGCCTTCCTCTGACACCGCCTGGTATAGAGGTCCTGGATGGCAGGAAGCTTGGCCCCAGTGATGTACTGGGCCGTACGCACTACCCTCTGTAGTGCCTTGCGGTCGGAGGCCAAGCAGTTGCCATACCAGGCGGTGATGCAACCAGTCAGGATGCTCTCGATGGTGCAGCTGTATAATTTTTTGAGGATCTGAGGACCCATGCCAAATCTTTTCAGTCTCCTGAGGGGGAATAGGCTTTGTCGTGCCCTCTTCACGATTGTGTTGGTGTGTTTGGACCATGATAGTTTGTTGGTGATGTGGACACCAAGGAACTTGAAGCTCTCAACCTGTTCCACTACAGCCCCGTCGATGAGAATGGGGGCGTGCTCAGTCCTCTTTTTTTTTTCCTGTAGTCCACAATCATCTCCTTTGTCTTGGTCACGTTGAGGGAGAGGTTGTTATCCTGGCACCACAAGGCCAGGTCTCTGACCTCCTCCCTATAGGCTGTCTCATTGTTGTCGGTGATCAGGCCTACCACTGTTGTGTCGTCGGCAAACTTAATGATGGTGTTGGAGTCGTGCCTGGCCATGCAGTCATGGGTGAACAGGGAGTACAGGAGGGGACTGAGCACGCACCGTGTTGAGGATCAGTGTGGCAGATGTGTTGTTACCTACCCTTACCACCTGGGGGGCGGCCCGTCAGGAAGTCCAGGATCGAGTTGCAGAGGGAGGTGTTTAGTCCCAGGATCCTTAGCTTAGTGATGAGCTTTGAGGGCACTATGGTGTTGAATGCTGAGATGTAGTCAATGAATAGCATTCTCACATAGGTGTTCCTCTTGTCCAGGTGGGAAAGGGCAGTGTGGAGTGCAATAGAGATTGCATCATCTGTGGATCTGTTGGGGCGGTATGCAAATTGGAGTGGGTCTAGGGTTTCTGGGATAATGGTGTTGATGTGAGCCATCCCCAGCCTTTCAAAGCACTTCATGGCTACAGACATCAGTGCTACGGGTCGGTAGTCATTTAGGCAGGTTATCTTAGAGTCCTTGGGCACGGGGACTATGGTGGTCTGCTTGAAACATGTTGGTATTACAGACTCAGTCAGGGACATATTGAAAATGTCATTGAAGACACTTGCCAGTTGGTCAGCACATGCTCAGAGTACACGTCCTGGTAATCCGTCTGGCACTGCGGCCTTGTGAATGTTGACCTGCTTAAAAGTCTTACTCACATCGGCTACGGAGAGCGTGATCATATAGTCATCCGGAACAGCTGGTGCTCTCATGCATGCTTCAGTGTTGCTTGCCTCGAAGCGAGCATAGAAGTGGTTTAGCTCGTCTGGTAGTCTTGTGTCACTGGGCAGCTCGCGGCTGTGCTTCCCTTTTTAGTCTGTAATAGTTTTCAAGCCCTGCCACATCCGACGAGCGTCAGAGCCGGTGTAGTACGATTCAATCTTAGTCCTGTATTGACTCTTTGCCTGTTTGATGGTTCGTCGGAGGGCATAGCTGGATTTCTTATAAGCGTCCGGGTTAGAGTCCCGCTCCTTGAAAGCAGCAGCTCTACCCTTTAGCTCAGTGCGGATGTTTCCTGTAATCCATGGCTTCTGGTTGGGGTATGTACGTACGGTCACTGTGGGGACGACATCATCGATGCACTTATTGATGAAGCCAGTGACTGATGTGGTGTACTCCTCAATGCTATCTGAAGAATCCCGGAACATGTACCAGTCTGTGCTAGCAAAACAGTCCTGTAGCTTAGCATCTGCGTCATCTGACCACTTTTTTATTAACCGAGTCACTGGTGCTTCCTGCTTTAGTTTTTGCTTATAAGCAGGAATCAGGAGGATAGAGTTATGGTCAGATTTGCCAAATGGAGGGCGAGGGAGAGCTTTGTATGCGTCTCTGTGTGTGGAGTAAAGGTGGTCTAGAGTTTTTTTTCCTCTGGTTGCACATTTAACATGCTGGTAGAAATTAGGTAGAACGGATTTAAGTTTCCCTGCATTAAAGTCCCCGGCCACTAGGAGCGCTGCCTCTGGATGAGCGTTTTCCTGTTGACAAATGGCCTCATACAGCTCATTCAGTGCAATCTTAATGCCAGCATTGGTTTGTGGTGGTAAATAGACAGCTATGAAAAATATAGATGAAAACTCTCTTGGTAAATAGTGTGGTCTACAGCTTATCATAAGATACTCTACCTCAGGCGAGCAAAACATTTTTACATTTATTTATTTTTTACATTTTACGTCATTTAGCAGACACTCTTATCCAGAGCGACTTACCGTTAGTGAGTACATACATATTTGTATTTATTTTTCATACTGGCCCCCCGCGGGAATCGAACCCACAACCCTGGCGTTGCAAACACCATGCTCTACCAACATCCCTGCCGGCCATTCCCTCCCCTACCCTGGACGATGCTGGGCCAATTGTGCACCGCCCCATGGGTCTCCCAGTCACGGCCGGCTACGACAGAGCCTGGATTCGAACCAGGATCTCTAGTGGCACAGCTAGCACTGCGATGCAGTGCCTTAGACCACTGCGCCACTTGGGAGACAAACCCGAGACGTCCTTAGTATTTGATTTTGTGCACCAGCTGTTGTTTACAAATATACACAGACCGCCACCCCTTGTCTTACCGGAGTCAGCCGTTCTATCCTGCCGATGTAGCGTATAGTCCGCTAGCTGTATGTTGTCCATGTCGTCGTTCAGCCACGACTCGGTGAAACATAAGATATTACCGTTTTTAATGTCCTGTTGGTAGGATAACCGTAATCTTAGGTCATCCAATTTATTCTCCAAACATGACGTCGGTGATCTTCAGGTCGGAGCTCTAGAAAGCGGCCCGAGTTCCCGACTTGGAATTCCGAGTTGGATGGCTGTTCAAAACGTATTTTCCCAGTCTGAGCTCTTTTTTTTCTGAGTTCCCAGTTGTTTGGAACTCACTGAAGTCTGAGATTTCCCAGTTCCGAATTTCCAATTGTTTTGAACGCGGCAGAAGTCATGCTGCATTGACAGCATGGCCAATTTATTCAACCTTTTCTGGCCCATGGTGTGTTGCGAGTTAATATTAATCCTTTTAAGCTTGAAAAGGAGACCCTTAAACCCAGACTTGGACCACACACCCTCTCCACTGAATAGCAGGCTAGTGATTTCTTTGCAAAGCTTGCAGTTAGCCACTAATTCCTTCCAAACCACTCATTTTTGAATTTGCGATTTCCAACTTGTTGTGTAATGTTTATGTCCAATTGCCGATGAGCACCGATACATTTTATCTATCGTTTATTTTCATTTGACAAGGATTGAAAAGGATTTGCCAGTAGATTGTCGACTTGATTCATGATGATGACTGCTTTCTAGCTTGCTAGCTAAGATTTTGAAAGTATGATGTTGACATGATCAGTCCAATCAAAGCTATGGTAGATATAACGTGATTTGACATCATTTTATCTGTGGCGAATGACCTTGAGCCTTCTTGGATGGGCACTTCTAATGTAAATCAATGGCAGCACCCAAGGGGCTTGAATTTTCGAGCTCTCCCCATAGATTTTGCGGTGATGCAGTGTCCCCATGAGTGACAGAACAATGAGCCAATCACAGCGCAACTAGAGAACATTACCAACCCCTATGCTCCGTATTATCTGCTGGCTGCCCCACCACCACAGACAGCACTGAGCTAGGCTGAAACACCTGCATTTTGAAACACCTGCATGCTCAATAAAGATGCAGGACATCTTGTGCGAACTTGTCGAACTGAAACCTGCTGATATTGAAATTGATTCAGATACCATTTCCGCCCAAAAGGTGGCGTCATGACACTACCAGCAGCAAATGAGGCACTGGCACCGGTAAATCAGGTGTATTTTCTTGACATAATGCGTGCTTGGGAAGTGTTAGTATTCACACAATACTAAAACAATTTTCGTATCTGAATAAGAGGTCTGTTATCCAAATGTTGCATGAAACCTGCTGAACAAAACCATTAGAAAGGCCAGTCGAGCTATGTGGCCTGACGTATAGCGCCTATGTAGGCTAGCATTGATAGAATTGGCATAAACCAAACCATAATTCTCTTGTTTTAGACATACTGGCGTCTTAAAGAACAAGCATTATTATCTTTAAGTCGAATAAGACAATAATGCTTGTCTGTATAGTGATCTGACACGGTTGCGCAATAGTCTCCATACAAGTTCCAAATGGGGCAATGTTTTTATGCAGGAGTTTTGGAAGCGTGCCATTGCCCTGAAGTGTTTAATTTGCATAATTGTAATGGCCAATACTAATGCATTGATGTGTGTTATCTGCAGGTTAATGCGATATGGTCAATGTTAACGCTTTGGGGGACATGTTTTTGTTTAGGAATGGGTTAGCGAGTGGTCTCTTCCTGCGCTCATGCGGAGGTGGGGTGTTCCCTCAGGGCGTCAGAGTATTTCAGCAGAGGAGAGAGCAGCATTTTGGAGACAGTCCGTTATTGAGACAGTCACACGGTGGAGCAGGTTGAGACAAACGGGTGGACTAAGTTTCAACGATATATTATTCTTTATATACCGCTATTCTCATGTGGATCTAAGTCTTAGACTTCTGTCTATTTCCAAAGATTTAACCTGTGACCGGTGGATATTTTACGGACATTTTTCGCAGGGTGGAAAAATGCCTCGGTCTTTCTTGGTCAAAAAGTATTTCGCCAATAAAAAACCCAACTATAGTGAACTGGAGTGTCAAAATGGTGAGTAACTTTACGTGAATTATTCATTGTATGAAGTAGAATGCATTACATAAATACGTAAAATATTACAGAATAGGTAGCCACCGGTTTTCTCTATTATTGTTCCTTACAAGAAGCCTATTTGATCCACTTTTAGTTGTGTTGCCCAAACATAAACTGTCTCCACGTTGGCAACCTTTACAAATCATATTTTATGTTTTCAAGTAGGCTTAGGCTCATTATAAAAGAGAGGTAGTTACCCCTAAACTGCACAGAGCTACGATGTATTTTTTTCTACGCCATTTGAATACGTGGGAGGAAATGGCCCATGAAATCTCTGCTTGGCTGAATCTCGGATGTTTTTGGTGTAAAATGCTCTGGAATTTTACAAAGATGTCACAGAGAAACCTGACGGGCAGTTGTTGCTTTACAAGTTGAAAATATATGGCCTATCCAAACTTCATGTATCTATTCAGTGTGTTGTGTTCCAGTTACATTAATCATATGTCCATGATGAAAACGTCTCAGTATCTGTCAGCTGTGCTGTAAATGTACCTCTGTAACCTAACCCTCTTCCTCATCCCTCAGCCACCTCACTGGAGAGGTACCCACTAGCTGAGCTTCCAGCAGGGGACAATAACTCAGCTGCCACTTGTAACACAACGGGACTTGTATGGGACGTGAGCTTCCTTCCAGCCCTCTACGTCCCCACATCCCCCATTGATGCCTCTACCACCCCCGGTCCCCTGGACCTCAGCTCCCCATCCAGCCTCAGCAGCAGTACCTATAGCAGTGGGGAGGAGGACGAGGGGCGCACCTCTGACCCACCCAGCCCCGAGCCCACAGACACCTACCACCCCCCTCAGCGCCCCAAACGCACCGGCATCAAGAGCCATGGGGCCCTGACTGAGGATGAGAGAGTGGCCCCAGTCACTGCAGCAAGGCCAGCCTTCTTCTGCAAGCACTGCCCTAAAGAGTACACCAGCCTGGGGGCTCTGAAGATGCACATCCGCTCACACACACTACCCTGTGTCTGCCCCACCTGCGGGAAAGCCTTTTCCAGGCCCTGGCTACTGCGCGGCCACATTCGCACACACACAGGTAAGAACTCCCACACTTTACATTGGGTATTACTTTGGTAGAAGGCAGGGGCAATTATTCAGTTGATTGGATCAACACTTGCAGTTTACAAAGCCCTGTGGGCTTGTTGGTCATTGATCACTCATTGTGTTCTACCTCACTGTAACAATGACTCCCTGAGAATGATCTTATCATTGGCTCCAATGTGAGACAACAGAATGCAGGATAACATTGTGATGAAGGGGACAAAGAACATAAGAAATCTCTCAGCTATCAAACTGCCCACTTGCTACGAGCAACAACTTGAAAGTAGTAAACTAATTTGGCACTGATTTAATCATGTTAATTCAAGTGTGGTCCTGATCCACTCAGCCTGACACCAGATTCATAATTACCCTTTAAATGAGCTGTGAGGGTGATTCACTGAGGTGTTAATTAACCCCTCTGGTGAGCTCAGAGACAGCCAAATTGATATAATTGTGTGTATTGCTAATCAAAGCCAAGGTTCACAGACCCCGTCTCATACACAGACACAGGCTTAACATCACACAGTTAGTGTCATGCATCTCTAACCATGCTCTTTTTCCTCCCTGCCTTCTCAGGTGAGCGGCCGTTTCTCCTGCCAACACTGTAACCGTGCCTTCGCCGACCGCTCCAACCTGCGTGCGCACCTGCAGACCCACGCTGAGGTGAAGAAGTACCAGTGTGGCGTGTGTTCCCGTACCTTCAGCCGCATGTCCCTCCTCCAGAAACACAGCGCAGTCAGCTGCTCCACCTCCTCCACAGCGTGAGCAGGAATGGGCCATGGAGTTATCCCCACAGAGACCTCAGGGCGGTGGGGGAGTCTACAGACTCATATCACCAGCAAGACCAGAGGAGCCTGAACCAATCTGCCAACAGAGACCATGAACTCACCGTTAACTAGTAGTAAGTTGACCCTGACTCGTATCTCTTTGGATGGAACTTCCAAAACCATCTCAGTTTCAATCACATTTAAAGTAGAAGAGGAACACATTTTTCAAACTCCTCCCATTGCAAGCCAAGTCTGGTAGATGTTTTGGACTGTAAGCAACTCTACTCCTGCCATTCTCCCAGTCCCAACTTCGTTTTTTCCTCATACAGTAGTGGACTCATGGGGGTTAGTGGTGCCAGTGTTTTTGTCTATCCCAGCCTCTGTGCCGGCCAGGCAAGCTCAGGATCATCGTGGCCTAAGAGAGGTAGGGGTGCGTGTGTGGGATACATCTCTCAGCAGGACACACACACGCACACACACACAGCTGTCCCTGGTAGAGTGGTGTAGATAGACAAGGTGCTAACAGGTGCTCTGGCCCTGACCTTCACTGGGCTGATAACAGGTGACTTCCACCTCCCCCAGAAAGAGGAAGTATGTCATCATCACAAAGAGGATGGAGTCCGTTGGTCCCTTTGTATGCATGTCTCCAGTGGGTGCGTCTTAAGCCTTTACTTTGACCACACAAAGCCCCTAATGTAATCTGATGTGTTTCAAAGACAGGATAAAGCCATTTGTTTATGTCCTTATTCCTCATGAAAGCTCTCAGCTTTCAATGTCGTTTTAATTCCTGAATGAAAATCTAAGCCATGCACTCCAGGTTACCACAGTGTTAATTATTGCTATTGTTCTCTACAATGATAAAGAGAACTCGTTTTATGAAATGTATTATTTTTAAACCAAAGATGTGCCTTCTTACCTCAGCTGGTAGTTGTTGTGTTTTTTAAAATTTTTTAATCTTGACAGTCAGAACTGGGGGGAAGGAGGGGGACCAAATAACATGTCTGAAATGTTTACATCATAGAGGCACGGTTTCACAGCCCTGGCTGTACAGAAATGAATTTGACATTTCCTAAACCTTTTATGGTGGTGTTTTACAGTGCAATGTCCAGATTGTATGTAGTCTTATTTTTATTGTGTTTGTGTCTTTCACTTCTATTTCAAATATTTCATAGCCGATGGATTTGCATTCAATAAAATAATTTATGTTTATAAAAAGTATTGTTTGACCTTTTACTGAGTGGAAGGAGAGGCTAGCACTGCTTATACAACAACCATAGATGCATGTTTGGTTAGAGACTGTTAATTAGGATAGGGCTCTCTTTCAACAACTGTAAATCTAGTGTGTTGGGAGTGAATGAGCAGTTTGAATTGGCCATTGTGACGTTTAGTGGGAGGCAGGTGTGCAGGTGAACACACTGAGTGATGGACAAGGACTACTGCATCTACTGCATGTACCGGCTCAATGTCTCCATCTCTCCACCTGCCACCTGCAGCCACTGTGCAAACAGTGTGTGTGTGCAAGTGTGAAGAGAGAGTAGATTTGTTGGCCAACATTCATCTTATTTAAACTTGTTCCAGGTCTGTATTTCCTTGGTTGAGGGAGTTGAAGCTCCTACTATGTAGCCCAGACAGTGAGTCAGAGTCTGTGTAGCCAGAAGAGTCTAAATTCCCATGGTTCTCTGAGTGATCAGGGCTGGGTTTCCCAAAAGCATCGTAGCACAAAGATCATTTTTCGTCCATTTAGTTTAAAAGGAATTAAGATCTTAGTGCTATGATGCTTTTGGGAAACCTAGCCCAGGTCTGGTCACAGAGCAGCGAGGGTGCGTGGGCTGTTGCCGAGGGTGAGGTAAGCTGTTCCACTCAGCCTCTCTGTCTGCTAGCGCTTCTAGCCACACACTTCTTAAACTCCAAATGTTCCTTGCAGTCAGGGAAATATTCACCGAGCAGGAGATAAGACTTCTGGGGCGAGCTCTAGACATTTGGTCATACTGCTGTGAGCTAACAGAGTCCTATATGGAGTGAGAGGTCTGGGAGGTGGATTAATAGTTCAGTCATTTGGTTGTTACCATTGCAGCTTTGACCTGGATGTTCTTATTCAGCAGGCCTATTAAGTTCCATCTGCTTGGAATTAATTCAGTGGTTTTATGATGTAAATTGTTAGCATGTCCTCAGGCGAGGGTGTCGGCTCGGCTAATAAAATCACACAGCATGGCAAGTTGAAGTGAGTAACGGTTTTAGTCAGATTATGCTCTCTAGTTAACTCATCTCTGGACTCACTCATTCTGTCGTATGAATAATGTATCTGTAGTTTAACTTCATCCTTGCCACAAAGCTTATATAGTAGGCCTACCATTTTTTGAAAGCCAGCCACCAGTTGAACCCCCAAAATATCATAACACTCACCACACTCCAAGTTACTGTATATATTTCTATTTTTTTTGTGGAAATTAAAACAGTACATGCTCCCCCACTCACTCCTTTGGGAGATTAGAATGTCTGGTTCTGAAATTTGAGAACTTTTTCCTGCTGCACGCTTCCCAATGCCAGAACACTCACTGTAATTTACCAAAGGTGGCTGCTATTTATGTCATTAAGTGTTTAACATTCCAGAGCCCCACAGGGTTTGTGTGTTCCTCTCTCTCTCCCTGCCTCTGGCTGTATATCTATTTATGTGCGTATTTGTGTTGAGTGTGAAGTGTCCCTGCAGAGAAGCAGCTCTCTCTCTCTCTCTTCACAGGAGGATCATCTCTCCCCCTCAGAGACAGGCCGGCAGGAAATGGGAGTTTACATTGGCCTACTTCACCCAAAAAAGACAGGCTAGGAGCCGAGGAGCTCAAGTGCTAACCCTCACTGCTTACTGCCACTGCACCATATCCCATCCCCCCCACTGCCCCACCCACGCCCGCTCCCAGGCCCAGTCCCAGTCAGGGGGAGAGAGAGAGCGGCCTTCAGTGCAGCAGCAGCCAGGGCTCACAACGGGCTCAGGGCCTGGGATACAGGAAGGAGCTGTCAGCCTCCCATAAACACGACTCATCCTGCGCAGATGACACAGAGGGCCTGGGGGTAGTGCTCCCCGGCCACCCCGCTGCCAACCCGCAGTTTTACACTGTGTGCTGCTGAGTTCCAGACTTGTGGATTCCTACGGCGCTTTCCTTCAGGCGCCGGTCCCCGTCTGTGGTTCTCTTCTCTGCATGTTTTCCTACACAGCAGTGAAGTACGCTGATTTCAGGGGTCCGTTACGCTGTTCTTTCAATGTGGTGCCGTGCCGAGAAATATAAACTCAACAACAGAGGGAACGGATTAAAAGTAGTAAGTTCTCAGGAGAAATGTAAAGTGTAATTAAAATATTTTCTGTTGATCGTGTTTTAAAAATAAACTGGGGTGTTTCACTTGCAATAAAGTTATAATCTCCTCCTGAGTAGCTCTCTAAGCACCTCTCATCCCATGTATACCCTCGTATCCTATATAGAGTCTTCATAATAGTCTCCTCTCTGCCTGTTACCTGTGGAGAGCTCAGACCAACAAACTCACCCAGATGTGAAAATCTAGCCTGTTAATTCTCCTCTGTCTGCAAATAGGCCACGGACAACCACTGCATCTTGTAAATAAAGAACCCAACAACAGTAACGCCACAAGTATGCCTAATGATGGATTTCATCAGGGTTGGGAGTCTGCCTGAGGGCAGGATTGGAGAGGTGGTCGAGTGGTTGGGGTTGGGTTGGGGTGGGGGGGGGGGGGGGTAGAGTGCATATTAAAGAGTAATGAATCACACACTCAGTCACAGGGTCGCCATGGATGAATGTGCTCTCTGTTTTCCTGGAGTCTGGAGTTTACTAACTGATGACGCAGGCTGCACTTGATCAGAGACATGTGTTGCTGTGGACTCTGTGCCAGTGAGAAGCAAGGAGAGGGGGAGAGGTGGAAGGACGGATGGCGCCTAAGCCCTCTCTCTTTCTCTCCCTCCTGGGCATTGCCTCACACTGGTGCTTGTGAGATTGGGGAGGAGGGTTGTCCCATCCCACTCTGGGAAAAATAAACCCAGCCTTTTAGGCCAGGACAGGAAACAAGGGATCTTCAGTGAGCATCTTGACCTAACTCCATCAATTCCTTTACCATCCTCTTCTCCAAACACACTCAGGGAGAGGGAGGAGGGAGAAAGATTGAGAGAGTTTTGATTGATAAGGGACAGGCTATGTGTACATAACTAATATTGCCTAACAATTATTGAATTATATCCAAAAGGTCTGTTCAGCCCCACTTGAACCCCCCAAAAATAAAAATAAATGTAATGTCCCCCTTTTTCCATGTCCAAAGACTTAAACCTGAACTATTGCAATAAATGGACCCATTGTCCCTTATCAATAGATGTCACTTTATTCAGTTCCCAAAATTATAGGTTTTTCCTGAATTTCAGTGGAAGGCAACCAAAGAAACATGTGATCCTCGGGTGAGAGAGAAAGTGATTTTGGGGATTGAAAGGATGTCGAGAAAAGTGGACAAAAAATAGCTACTGTAGAAAAAGCTAATGTCCGCTGACTGTTTGCTGCTCCCCCAAGTGAGCTTTAAATTAAGATTTTAGGTACAGGAAAAATGGTTGGTTTGACCCAGGAAATTGACAACCCATCTCATGTCAGATTTCACTAAGTGGTCAGGATACTCTGACTGTAGTCTCTGTGAAGAACCGAGAGTTATGAACATCCTGACTGCATAGTTATAGCAAGGACTACATGCACTGAACAGTGCAGATGTAACAGAGTGCATTTGGTTCTGCCCTGAACTTGGATCAAACTAGGAACATTCCATATAGCAACACTTGTAACTCAAATCCAACTGCCTTAGGTAACAGAGCAAGAGATGAGTCGGTCACTCCTTGATCAACAGTTAGCATTAGATCTCAGGGTGATGCAAGTGATGTACTCCAGCCAACATGCTACAGGTGAGTTTCACATCCACTACACAGACAGTATCAAATCAAATGTTATTCGTCACATGCTTCATAAACAGGTGTGGACTAACAGTGTAATGCTTACTTATGTGCCCTTCCCAAAAATGTAGAGAGAAAGAAAATACAGAAATAATAGAAAAGTAAAACACATAATAACAAAAGTAATAATAGATACACAATGATTAACGATAACTTGGCTATATACAAGGGGTACCAGTACCGAGTCGATGTGCAGGGGTACAAGGAAATTGAGGTAGATATGTACACTGAACAAAAATATAAACGCAACATGCACCAAGATTTTACTGAGTTACAGTGTACATATAACTAGGAATAAAGTGACAGATAGTAAACAGTAGCAGCAGCATATGTGATGAGTCAAAAAAGTTAGTGCATAAAGGGTCAATACACTGAACAAAAATATAAACGCAACATGTAAAGTGTTGGTCCCATGTTTCATGAGCTGAAAGAAAAAATCCCAGAAATGTTCCATATGCACAAAAAGTTTATTTCTCTCAAATGTTATGCACACATTTGTTTACATCCCTGTTAGTGAGCATTTCTCCTTTGCCAAGAAGCTGATTAAACAGCATGATCATTACACAGGTGCACCTTGTGCTGGGAACAATAAAAGGCCACTTTAAAATGTGCAGTTATGCCACAGATGTCTCAAGTTCTGAGGAAGTGTGCAATTGGCATGCTGACTGCAGGAATGTCCACCAGAGCTGTTGCCAGAGAATTTAATGTTCATTTCTCTACAATAAGCTGCCTCCAACGTCGTTTTAGAGAATTTGGCAGTAAGTCCAACCGGCATCACAACCTCAGACCACATGTAACCACGCCAGCCCAGGACCCCCACATCCGGCTTCTCCACCTGTGGGATCGTCTAAGGAGGGATGGGGGGGGGGGGCTGCTGAGGAGTATTTCTGTCTGTAATAAAGTCCTTTTGTGGGGGAAAAACTCATTTTGATTGACTGGG